CCCACGTCACCCCCCTAGCACCACTCCTTCGGCTCCCACACACCCACCCCCCTGAGCGGCAGCTGCAGCAGCGGGAGACGGAGGAGGAGGAGGAGTAGGGGACGGGGCACACAACCGGCACCCCCACAACCGCCACCCCCACACTCCCCACCCCCAAACCCTAAAACGGGTGGCACGGGGCAGGAGCGCGGGGGACGGCGCGCGGCCCCCAGGGCGCCACCATGGGGCAGCGAGGGGCCGCGCGCGGCCCCTCAGGGCGCCGCGACGGGGCAGCGGGGGGGTCGCGCACGGTTCCAGGGGCGGCTCGCGGATCCCCGGGGGCGACGCGAGGGTCGACGGGACGCCGCGCGCGGGTCCATCGGGTCGACGCGACCGTCGACGGGGCAGCGGGGGGTCGCGCGCGGCTCCCCAGGGCGGCGCGACGGGGTGGCGGGGCGACGCGACCACCGACGGGGCAGCGGGGGCAGCGCGCGGGTCCCCTAGGGCGACGGGGCGGTCGACGGGAGGGGGGGAAGCGCGGGTCCCCGGGGTGACGCACGAGGGAGGAAACCGCCGCGCGCCTCGGGGCCACGGCGGGCAGAAAACCGCCGCGCGCCCCGAGCGCGCGGCGGGAAGAAAAAACGAACATCGCGCGCCACGGGACGCGCGACACACAGGAAGGCAGCGGAAGCAGGCGGGCCCACAGGCCAGGAGCGTAACCGCTCTGATAGCATGTTAGAATAGTAGCTAGTATGAAAGAGCCATAGCTAGGGTTTACCTAGCTAGGCAAGAGAGAATAGGCAAAAGAGGGTTTGACTAGAAAGAAGGGAGGTACAAATAGCAAGCCCTAAAAGGGTTTACTCACTATTGAGTACCCCACTACAGGCAAGACAAGCATTATAATCTGACACCGGACTCCCCTCATCAGAATGGGGTTGCTGAGCGCCGCATTGGCTTGGTCATGGACATCGCCCGCACGTCCATGATCCATGCCCGTGCGCCCCATTTTCTGTGGCCCTACGCGGTCAGTTCACTACGCCGCGCACCAGCTGAACCTCCAGCCGCGCGTCTCGCGGCCAGAGGCTTCACCGACCAGTCTTTGGACCGGGTCCCCTGGTGTTGGGTCGGCTTTTCAAGTCTGGGGCTGCATGTTTGCGTCACCTCTGCTGACAAGCTCTCGGCACGCACCATCCCCTGTATTTTCCTTGGTTTCCCGGCAGCCTCGACCGACTGGTCCTTTTACCACCCGCCCCTCCACCAGTTCCTAGACTCTTGTGACGTCCGGTTGGACTCTTGTGTCTCTTGGTACGCTCGCTACCCCTGTAGAGGTCTCCCGGTTCCCCCTCCCCCCCTTTTCCTCGCACCCTCTCTTCCCCCTACTCCCGCTCCTCCGGTACCCCCACCCCCCCCTGGTCCTGCCCCGTCAGGTGTGTCTCACGCTACCCCTCTACCCTCGGTCGCGCGTCAGGTAGCGTCTCCCTCCCCGCAGTCCTCCTCACAGCCCCCTCAGCAGCCTTCGGTTCTTCCGAGACTGGTTACTGTGGACTCGGTTGGTGTTGGAGCCAGAGGTGCGGCCACTGGCGGTGCTAGGTCTAGGGGTGCTTGGTCGAGGGGTGCTGGATCTGGAGGTGCTGGCACTGGAGGTGCTAGTTCTGGGGGTGCTGGAGCTGGAGGTGCTGGCACTGGAGGTGCTAGCTTTGGGGGTGCTCGAGCTGGGGGTCCTGGCACTGGGGGTGCTCGGACAGGGGGTGCTGGGGCTGGGGACTCTGACCCTGGTGGCGCCCCCTCTAAGGACACTGGTACTGGAGGTGCTAGTTCTGAGGAGCCTTGAGCTGGGGGCACTACGTCTGCGGAGAGCACTCCGCCTCCCCACCGTCACGCCACGCGTTTCCAGGCGGCCTGCCGGCGTGCGCGCGAGGAGCAGGAGCGGTTGGAGCGGGAGCGGCAGGAGCTGCGGCAGTTGGACCTCCTGGAGCAGTAGCAGCAGCAGCAGCAGCAGCAGCAGCAGCAGCAGCAGCAGCAGCAGCAGCAGCAGCAGCAGCAGCAGCAGCCCCCGCGGCCTTCGGGCCCTTGGTCTTCCCTCCCCTCCTCCTGTCCACCCGCAGTCACTGCCCGCTTACGGTCCTATGTTTCTTCCTCCGGACTCGTCTCCGGCTGTTTTCCCTCCTTCTCCTTCATAGTTACCTCCTCCTGTTGTCCCGCACGACTGGACCGCTCGTTGTCCCCAGTGTGCTCGTCCCTCGTCTCCTCTTGCCGACCTTCGCACCGCCTTGTTTCGTTCCGGTCCTCGTCGTGCTCCTCCTATGTTTGTTCTCCCTTCACCTCCTGAGTCGGCTCTTACAGCCTCCCTCTCTACCCCTATCACTGACTACTACCGTACGGTGCGTCCTGTTGTCTCGCGTGTTCTCGCTTCTCTTGTCACCGACCCTCGTGCCTCTCCGTCGCCAGTCTCCGCTCTCACTGCCTTTGCGTCCACCTGTCGCCTTGACTTTGCCACCCGTGTCGTAGCTGCCCCGCCTGCCCGTCCTGAGGCCGCCGGGGGTGGGTTTGCCCTTGGCTGTGACGTCCTCCAGGACAGGCAGTTTGAGTTGGAGTTCCTGGCAGCTGCTTCCCTCTCTCTTTGTGCCATGTTGCTTTCCCCTGAGGGAGACTCTGACGCCCTTGACATACCGACTCCTCGCACGTACCGTGAGGCAGTGTCAGGGGAGTGATTCTCTTAGTGGAAAGCGGCCATGGACTCAGAGTTGGCTTTTTACAGATCCACAGGCACCTACGTCGACGAGGTTCCCCCTCGCGGAGCGAACATTGTCGATGGCATGTGGATTTTCAGGGTGAAGCGACCGCATGGATCACCGCCTGTGTTCAAGGCGCGTTACGTGGCCAGGGGCTTCAGTCAGCGTGAGGGAGTTGACTTCTTCCAGACCTTTTCCCCCACCCCGAAGATGACTACTCTTCGGGTGTTACTCCATGTAGCAGCACAGTGAGACTACGAGCTGCATTCTCTCGACTTCTCCACTGCTTTCCTCTAGGGCCGCTTACACGAGGAGATCTGGCTGCGCCGTCCTCCTGGTTTCACTGACACCTTCCCACCTGGGACTCACTGGAGCTTGAGACGACCAGTCTACGGTCTCCGCCAGTCGCCCCGTGAGTGGCACGACACTCTTCGCTCCACGCTTCGTGACCTAGGGTTTCGTCCCTCCTCTGCTGACCCGTCGCTGTTTCTTCGCACTGACTCCTTCTGTATCCTGGTCTACGTCGACGACCTGGTGTTTGCTACAGCTGACAGGGCAGCACTGGCAGAGGTGAAATCCGAATTGCAGAAGAGACAGATGTGCACTGACCTTGGGGAACTGCGCCGCTACCTTGGCCTGCAGATCTCCAGGGACAGAGCCGCTCGCACCATCACACTGACTCAGTCACACATGGTGCAGCAGGTCCTTCGGCGGTTCGGGTTTCAGTTCTCCACCACACAGCCCACTCCTCTTGCTGTTGACCACAAACTCACCGGCCCCTTCCCCGACGAGCCCTTTGAGCCCAGTGGTCCCTACCCAGAGCTTGTTGGCTGCCTCATGTACCTGATGACCTGTACTCGCCCGGACCTCGCCTACCCTCTTAGTGCCCTCTCTCGCTTTGTTGGACCTGGGAGGCACCGTCCTGTTCACTGGACGGCTGCCGTGAGGGTGGCGAAGTACCTGGCGACTACATCAGGCATGGGGCTTGTGCTTGGAGGGACTCAGCCAGTTGAGCTGACTGGCCTCTGTGATTCTTCTTACGCTAACGACGTGGAGACTCAGCGCTCGACCCAGGGTTACTGTTTCAGTCTGGGAGTTGGAGCTATGTCGTGGAGGTCCACACGGTCGTCGTCGGTGGCTTCGTCCAGTGCAGAGGCAGAGATCTACGCCGGTGCTATGGCTGCTCAGGAGCTTTGCTGGTTGACCTTCTTGCTCGCTGACCTTGGTGAGCGGCCTCGCACTGCTCCGACCTTGTTCGCTGACAACAAGGCCATGATTCTCTTGTGTCGCGAGCCTCGACTGGAGACTAGGGTTAAGCACATCGATGTTCGGTACTTCCTCCTGCGTGAGCTACAGCGACGCGGCCAGGTACGGTTGGACTTTGTGGCCTTAGAGGCCGACACTGCTGACCTCTTCACCAAGGCATTGACGCCTGGTGATCACCACCGGTTCTGTGTGCAGTTAGGGCTTGTTGAGGCAGGTCCTAGGTTACTGTAGACTTGTTGCTTCCTCTGCTTATCGTGCTTTGTTATTATATATCTTAGTGAACTCCTGAACTGGCCTTGTGGTCGCTTGCTTGTGCTCTGAATTTGTGTGGTGTCCTTGAGATCCACCCTGAGCTTGCTTTGCTTGTTGCATTGACTGGTCTTATGACCATTTGTTCACCCTGCTTGCTTTGATGCCCCTCACTTAGCCTATGGGGGTGCGTCAAATGTTGATAATCTCACCATTCCGTTGCATTCATACTTTGAGAAAAACGTATTAAATATTCATGATGCTATCGTCACATGGAAAATGCTTTGAATTAAATTATAAGTAAGCGGGTGCAACAACAGTGAAGATGTGATTGCAATCAATGACAGCCTTAGAAATCTTGCTCATGATACAAAGTAATACTTATTATATATCATAATCTTTATCTCTAGTGCACTCATCGTTAACTTTGTTTAATTGCATTTGTAACGAGCACAAAAAATGCTACGCAACCCTTGCGATCCTAAACGTCGAGCCTTGTTTTCTGCTGCCGTCGCTGGCAAGGGCGTAGCACAGCGCTACATTAGCATAGTCCACTTTTATCCACACCTAACTGAAATTCGTGTGCTTGTCGAGATAATAAGTGCGAGATACTCTGTCGTGCGGAGAACCGCCGTCTCCGCCTCCCTGGTTCGGCTCAAACAAGCACCCTCCTCGCGGATACACGGGAAATTGATCCTCTCCGTTCTCAACCGCATCGTTATCACCTCCGCCAACCCCACACCTTCGTCCTATCTCTTCCCCGAGTCGCCCGCCATGAATCAGCCGCGTCGCAAGTCTGCGTTCCGCATCGAGCCGTTTCGGCACAAGGTGGAGATGGACCCGCGATACGCGGAGAAGACGTGGGGCATTCTCGAGGACGCCATCCACCAGATCTACAACCACAACGCCTCGGGCCTCAGCTTCGAGGAGCTCTACCGGTACGTGCGTGCGGCCTCAGCTGCCACGAGGTCTATCGGTATGCCCTCCGTCCCTCCCTTGCTCCCTCCCTCGGCGTGCGGTCTTCTCTAGGTCTCCGTCCACAGCATCTACAATCACAACGCCTCCGGCCTCCGCTTCCAATAGCTCTATTGGTACGCGCCTCCTTCCGCCCTGCGTCGCTGTCTCTTCGCTTCTGCAAATCCGCCCTTCCAAGAGCTCTAAAGGCACGTTGGCCTCAGTTTCGCCGTTCCAAGAGCTCTACCGGCATGAGCACGGCGACTGCCTCTACGCGTGGCTAGTAGGCGCGCTAAGAGTGTCTTTCCCCTCGTGCCCTCCCCCCCTCCCATCCCATCACAGCAACGCGTACATCAAGGTGTTGCACAAGTACGGCAACCGCCTCTATGCGGAGCTGGGTAGCACTCTTCATGTGTCTTTCTTGTCATTCTTCCCTTTATCCCCCCTTTCATCCCATCCCATCCCCTCCCCCCCCCTCCTCCCGTCACAGCAACGCGTACAACATGGTACTCCATAAGTACGGCAACCGCCTGTACGCGGGGCTGGTAGGCAACCGCCTGTACGCGGGGCTGGTAGGCAACCGCCTGTACGCGGGGCTGGTAGGCAACCGCCTGTACGCGGGGCTAAGACTGTCTTTCCCTTGTCTCTCCCTGTGTTTTTACCCACTTCCCCCTTTCCCCCTCCCCCCTCCCCCCAAGCAACGCGTACAACATGGTACTCCATAAGTAGAGCAACCGCCTGTTCGCAGGGCCCGTCCCCACGCTACATGTGTCTTTCCCTTGTCTCTCCCTGTGCTTTCCCCCCTGTGCCTTCACCGCGTGTCCCCCTCCGCCCTCTCATTCACAGCAACGCGTACAACATGGTACTCCATAAGTAGAGCAACCGCCTGTTCGCAGGGCCCGTCCCCACGCTACATGTGTCTTTCCCTTGTCTCTCCCTGTGCTTTCCCCCCTGTGCCTTCACCGCGTGTCCCCCTCCGCCCTCTCATTCACAGCAACGCGTACAACATGGTACTCCATAAGTAGAGCAACCGCCTGTTCGCAGGGCCCGTCCCCACGCTACATGTGTCTTTCCCTTGTCTCTCCCTGTGCTTTCCCCCCTGTGCCTTCACCGCGTGTCCCCCTCCGCCCTCTCATTCACAGCAACGCGTACAACATGGTACTCCATAAGTAGAGCAACCGCCTGTTCGCAGGGCCCGTCCCCACGCTACATGTGTCTTTCCCTTGTCTCTCCCTGTGCTTTCCCCCCTGTGCCTTCACCGCGTGTCCCCCTCCGCCCTCTCATTCACAGCAACGCGTACAACATGGTACTCCATAAGTAGAGCAACCGCCTGTTCGCAGGGCCCGTCCCCACGCTACATGTGTCTTTCCCTTGTCTCTCCCTGTGCTTTCCCCCCTGTGCCTTCACCGCGTGTCCCCCTCCGCCCTCTCATTCACAGCAACGCGTACAACATGGTACTCCATAAGTAGAGCAACCGCCTGTTCGCAGGGCCCGTCCCCACGCTACATGTGTCTTTCCCTTGTCTCTCCCTGTGCTTTCCCCCCTGTGCCTTCACCGCGTGTCCCCCTCCGCCCTCTCATTCACAGCAACGCGTACAACATGGTACTCCATAAGTAGAGCAACCGCCTGTTCGCAGGGCCCGTCCCCACGCTACATGTGTCTTTCCCTTGTCTCTCCCTGTGCTTTCCCCCCTGTGCCTTCACCGCGTGTCCCCCTCCGCCCTCTCATTCACAGCAACGCGTACAACATGGTACTCCATAAGTAGAGCAACCGCCTGTTCGCAGGGCCCGTCCCCACGCTACATGTGTCTTTCCCTTGTCTCTCCCTGTGCTTTCCCCCCTGTGCCTTCACCGCGTGTCCCCCTCCGCCCTCTCATTCACAGCAACGCGTACAACATGGTACTCCATAAGTAGAGCAACCGCCTGTTCGCAGGGCCCGTCCCCACGCTACATGTGTCTTTCCCTTGTCTCTCCCTGTGCTTTCCCCCCTGTGCCTTCACCGCGTGTCCCCCTCCGCCCTCTCATTCACAGCAACGCGTACAACATGGTACTCCATAAGTAGAGCAACCGCCTGTTCGCAGGGCCCGTCCCCACGCTACATGTGTCTTTCCCTTGTCTCTCCCTGTGCTTTCCCCCCTGTGCCTTCACCGCGTGTCCCCCTCCGCCCTCTCATTCACAGCAACGCGTACAACATGGTACTCCATAAGTAGAGCAACCGCCTGTTCGCAGGGCCCGTCCCCACGCTACATGTGTCTTTCCCTTGTCTCTCCCTGTGCTTTCCCCCCTGTGCCTTCACCGCGTGTCCCCCTCCGCCCTCTCATTCACAGCAACGCGTACAACATGGTACTCCATAAGTAGAGCAACCGCCTGTTCGCAGGGCCCGTCCCCACGCTACATGTGTCTTTCCCTTGTCTCTCCCTGTGCTTTCCCCCCTGTGCCTTCACCGCGTGTCCCCCTCCGCCCTCTCATTCACAGCAACGCGTACAACATGGTACTCCATAAGTAGAGCAACCGCCTGTTCGCAGGGCCCGTCCCCACGCTACATGTGTCTTTCCCTTGTCTCTCCCTGTGCTTTCCCCCCTGTGCCTTCACCGCGTGTCCCCCTCCGCCCTCTCATTCACAGCAACGCGTACAACATGGTACTCCATAAGTAGAGCAACCGCCTGTTCGCAGGGCCCGTCCCCACGCTACATGTGTCTTTCCCTTGTCTCTCCCTGTGCTTTCCCCCCTGTGCCTTCACCGCGTGTCCCCCTCCGCCCTCTCATTCACAGCAACGCGTACAACATGGTACTCCATAAGTAGAGCAACCGCCTGTTCGCAGGGCCCGTCCCCACGCTACATGTGTCTTTCCCTTGTCTCTCCCTGTGCTTTCCCCCCTGTGCCTTCACCGCGTGTCCCCCTCCGCCCTCTCATTCACAGCAACGCGTACAACATGGTACTCCATAAGTAGAGCAACCGCCTGTTCGCAGGGCCCGTCCCCACGCTACATGTGTCTTTCCCTTGTCTCTCCCTGTGCTTTCCCCCCTGTGCCTTCACCGCGTGTCCCCCTCCGCCCTCTCATTCACAGCAACGCGTACAACATGGTACTCCATAAGTAGAGCAACCGCCTGTTCGCAGGGCCCGTCCCCACGCTACATGTGTCTTTCCCTTGTCTCTCCCTGTGCTTTCCCCCCTGTGCCTTCACCGCGTGTCCCCCTCCGCCCTCTCATTCACAGCAACGCGTACAACATGGTACTCCATAAGTAGAGCAACCGCCTGTTCGCAGGGCCCGTCCCCACGCTACATGTGTCTTTCCCTTGTCTCTCCCTGTGCTTTCCCCCCTGTGCCTTCACCGCGTGTCCCCCTCCGCCCTCTCATTCACAGCAACGCGTACAACATGGTACTCCATAAGTAGAGCAACCGCCTGTTCGCAGGGCCCGTCCCCACGCTACATGTGTCTTTCCCTTGTCTCTCCCTGTGCTTTCCCCCCTGTGCCTTCACCGCGTGTCCCCCTCCGCCCTCTCATTCACAGCAACGCGTACAACATGGTACTCCATAAGTAGAGCAACCGCCTGTTCGCAGGGCCCGTCCCCACGCTACATGTGTCTTTCCCTTGTCTCTCCCTGTGCTTTCCCCCCTGTGCCTTCACCGCGTGTCCCCCTCCGCCCTCTCATTCACAGCAACGCGTACAACATGGTACTCCATAAGTAGAGCAACCGCCTGTTCGCAGGGCCCGTCCCCACGCTACATGTGTCTTTCCCTTGTCTCTCCCTGTGCTTTCCCCCCTGTGCCTTCACCGCGTGTCCCCCTCCGCCCTCTCATTCACAGCAACGCGTACAACATGGTACTCCATAAGTAGAGCAACCGCCTGTTCGCAGGGCCCGTCCCCACGCTACATGTGTCTTTCCCTTGTCTCTCCCTGTGCTTTCCCCCCTGTGCCTTCACCGCGTGTCCCCCTCCGCCCTCTCATTCACAGCAACGCGTACAACATGGTACTCCATAAGTAGAGCAACCGCCTGTTCGCAGGGCCCGTCCCCACGCTACATGTGTCTTTCCCTTGTCTCTCCCTGTGCTTTCCCCCCTGTGCCTTCACCGCGTGTCCCCCTCCGCCCTCTCATTCACAGCAACGCGTACAACATGGTACTCCATAAGTAGAGCAACCGCCTGTTCGCAGGGCCCGTCCCCACGCTACATGTGTCTTTCCCTTGTCTCTCCCTGTGCTTTCCCCCCTGTGCCTTCACCGCGTGTCCCCCTCCGCCCTCTCATTCACAGCAACGCGTACAACATGGTACTCCATAAGTAGAGCAACCGCCTGTTCGCAGGGCCCGTCCCCACGCTACATGTGTCTTTCCCTTGTCTCTCCCTGTGCTTTCCCCCCTGTGCCTTCACCGCGTGTCCCCCTCCGCCCTCTCATTCACAGCAACGCGTACAACATGGTACTCCATAAGTAGAGCAACCGCCTGTTCGCAGGGCCCGTCCCCACGCTACATGTGTCTTTCCCTTGTCTCTCCCTGTGCTTTCCCCCCTGTGCCTTCACCGCGTGTCCCCCTCCGCCCTCTCATTCACAGCAACGCGTACAACATGGTACTCCATAAGTAGAGCAACCGCCTGTTCGCAGGGCCCGTCCCCACGCTACATGTGTCTTTCCCTTGTCTCTCCCTGTGCTTTCCCCCCTGTGCCTTCACCGCGTGTCCCCCTCCGCCCTCTCATTCACAGCAACGCGTACAACATGGTACTCCATAAGTAGAGCAACCGCCTGTTCGCAGGGCCCGTCCCCACGCTACATGTGTCTTTCCCTTGTCTCTCCCTGTGCTTTCCCCCCTGTGCCTTCACCGCGTGTCCCCCTCCGCCCTCTCATTCACAGCAACGCGTACAACATGGTACTCCATAAGTAGAGCAACCGCCTGTTCGCAGGGCCCGTCCCCACGCTACATGTGTCTTTCCCTTGTCTCTCCCTGTGCTTTCCCCCCTGTGCCTTCACCGCGTGTCCCCCTCCGCCCTCTCATTCACAGCAACGCGTACAACATGGTACTCCATAAGTAGAGCAACCGCCTGTTCGCAGGGCCCGTCCCCACGCTACATGTGTCTTTCCCTTGTCTCTCCCTGTGCTTTCCCCCCTGTGCCTTCACCGCGTGTCCCCCTCCGCCCTCTCATTCACAGCAACGCGTACAACATGGTACTCCATAAGTAGAGCAACCGCCTGTTCGCAGGGCCCGTCCCCACGCTACATGTGTCTTTCCCTTGTCTCTCCCTGTGCTTTCCCCCCTGTGCCTTCACCGCGTGTCCCCCTCCGCCCTCTCATTCACAGCAACGCGTACAACATGGTACTCCATAAGTAGAGCAACCGCCTGTTCGCAGGGCCCGTCCCCACGCTACATGTGTCTTTCCCTTGTCTCTCCCTGTGCTTTCCCCCCTGTGCCTTCACCGCGTGTCCCCCTCCGCCCTCTCATTCACAGCAACGCGTACAACATGGTACTCCATAAGTAGAGCAACCGCCTGTTCGCAGGGCCCGTCCCCACGCTACATGTGTCTTTCCCTTGTCTCTCCCTGTGCTTTCCCCCCTGTGCCTTCACCGCGTGTCCCCCTCCGCCCTCTCATTCACAGCAACGCGTACAACATGGTACTCCATAAGTAGAGCAACCGCCTGTTCGCAGGGCCCGTCCCCACGCTACATGTGTCTTTCCCTTGTCTCTCCCTGTGCTTTCCCCCCTGTGCCTTCACCGCGTGTCCCCCTCCGCCCTCTCATTCACAGCAACGCGTACAACATGGTACTCCATAAGTAGAGCAACCGCCTGTTCGCAGGGCCCGTCCCCACGCTACATGTGTCTTTCCCTTGTCTCTCCCTGTGCTTTCCCCCCTGTGCCTTCACCGCGTGTCCCCCTCCGCCCTCTCATTCACAGCAACGCGTACAACATGGTACTCCATAAGTAGAGCAACCGCCTGTTCGCAGGGCCCGTCCCCACGCTACATGTGTCTTTCCCTTGTCTCTCCCTGTGCTTTCCCCCCTGTGCCTTCACCGCGTGTCCCCCTCCGCCCTCTCATTCACAGCAACGCGTACAACATGGTACTCCATAAGTAGAGCAACCGCCTGTTCGCAGGGCCCGTCCCCACGCTACATGTGTCTTTCCCTTGTCTCTCCCTGTGCTTTCCCCCCTGTGCCTTCACCGCGTGTCCCCCTCCGCCCTCTCATTCACAGCAACGCGTACAACATGGTACTCCATAAGTAGAGCAACCGCCTGTTCGCAGGGCCCGTCCCCACGCTACATGTGTCTTTCCCTTGTCTCTCCCTGTGCTTTCCCCCCTGTGCCTTCACCGCGTGTCCCCCTCCGCCCTCTCATTCACAGCAACGCGTACAACATGGTACTCCATAAGTAGAGCAACCGCCTGTTCGCAGGGCCCGTCCCCACGCTACATGTGTCTTTCCCTTGTCTCTCCCTGTGCTTTCCCCCCTGTGCCTTCACCGCGTGTCCCCCTCCGCCCTCTCATTCACAGCAACGCGTACAACATGGTACTCCATAAGTAGAGCAACCGCCTGTTCGCAGGGCCCGTCCCCACGCTACATGTGTCTTTCCCTTGTCTCTCCCTGTGCTTTCCCCCCTGTGCCTTCACCGCGTGTCCCCCTCCGCCCTCTCATTCACAGCAACGCGTACAACATGGTACTCCATAAGTAGAGCAACCGCCTGTTCGCAGGGCCCGTCCCCACGCTACATGTGTCTTTCCCTTGTCTCTCCCTGTGCTTTCCCCCCTGTGCCTTCACCGCGTGTCCCCCTCCGCCCTCTCATTCACAGCAACGCGTACAACATGGTACTCCATAAGTAGAGCAACCGCCTGTTCGCAGGGCCCGTCCCCACGCTACATGTGTCTTTCCCTTGTCTCTCCCTGTGCTTTCCCCCCTGTGCCTTCACCGCGTGTCCCCCTCCGCCCTCTCATTCACAGCAACGCGTACAACATGGTACTCCATAAGTAGAGCAACCGCCTGTTCGCAGGGCCCGTCCCCACGCTACATGTGTCTTTCCCTTGTCTCTCCCTGTGCTTTCCCCCCTGTGCCTTCACCGCGTGTCCCCCTCCGCCCTCTCATTCACAGCAACGCGTACAACATGGTACTCCATAAGTAGAGCAACCGCCTGTTCGCAGGGCCCGTCCCCACGCTACATGTGTCTTTCCCTTGTCTCTCCCTGTGCTTTCCCCCCTGTGCCTTCACCGCGTGTCCCCCTCCGCCCTCTCATTCACAGCAACGCGTACAACATGGTACTCCATAAGTAGACACGGCGACCGCCTGTACGCCGGGCTGGTGACCACCATGACGAACCACCTCAAGGGCGTGGCGGCTGCTATAGAGGCCGCACACGGGCCGCTCTTTCTCAACGAGCTCGATGCGAGGTGAGGGGAGGTGCAGTGGGTTACGCGGGGCTGGTTAGCACCATGACGCGGGGCTGGTTAGCACCATGACGCGGGGCTGGTTAGCACCATGACGGCGCACCTCAAGGGCATGGCGGCGCACCTCAAGGGCATGGCGGCGGCTATAGAGGCCGCACACGGGCCGCTGTTTCTTAACGAGCTCGATGCGAGGTGGGTGTGAGGGTGTGACTCGAGGTAAGAGGTGGTGCCACGGCAGGCTGTGAGGTGGGTTAGGCCCGCCTGTAACCGGGGCTGGTGAGCTCTTGCTCTTGCTCTTGCCCTGCGTAGAAAGGTTATTTTTGAGACGTCTCAGAAATAACCTTTCTAACCGGGGCTGGTGAGCTCTGCTCTTGCTCTTGCTCTGCTGTGCTCTGGAAAGGCATGGGAAAGGCGCCGCTGCTTTCCCCACCACCCCTTTTCTCCCCCCTTTCACGACCAGGTGGCACGACTACGGCCCGAACGCACGTGACCAATGCTTACTCTCCCCCTCCCCTTCCCTCCCATTCCTCCCCACCACCCCCCCCCACCCCTCTTTCTCTCCTTCCTCTCCCAGTCCCCCAGATGATCCCACACATCCGCATGTACATGGACGGACCCATGATGCCCACTCACCAATGCTGTCAATGCTGCCATCTTCTCTCTCACTTCTTTCGACTGCTCGTGTTTCCCCCATCTCCTCACCCCCAGGTGGCACGACTACGGCAAGTCCTTGCAGATGATCCAAGACATCCTCATGTGCATGGACCGAACCCACATGCCCAGTGACCAATGCTGCTCCCTGCTGCTCCCTCTCGTCCCACTCTTCTTTCCCACTCTCCCTCCCACTCTCTCCCTCCCACTCTCTCCCTCCCACTCTCCCTCTCCCTCCCACTCTCCTCTCGCCTCCCTCTCCCACTCTCTCCCTCCCACTCTCTCCCTCCCCCTCCCACTCTCTCCCTCCCACTCTCTTCCCTCCCACTCTCTCCCTCCCACTCTCTCCCTCCCACTCTCTCTCCCTCCCACTCTCTCCCTCTCCCCCACTCTCTCCCTCCCACTCTCTCCCTCCCACTCTCTCCCTCCCACTCTCTCCCTCCCACTCTCTCCCTCCCACTCTCTCCCTCCCACTCTCTCCCTCCCACTCTCTCCCTCCACTCTCTCCCCTCCCACTCTCTCCCTCCCACTCTCTCCTCCCACTCTCTCCCTCCCACTCTCTCCCTCCCTCCCACTCTCCCTCCTCCCACTCTCTCCCTCCCACTCTCCTCCCCTCCCACGCTCTCCCTCCTCTCCCTCCCACTCTCCCTCTCCCCCACTCTCTCCCTCCCCTCTCTCCCTCCACTCTCTCCCTCCCACTCTCTCCCCCCACTCTCTCCCTCCCACTCTCTCCCTCCACTCTCTCCCTCCCACTCTCTCCCCCCCCACTCTCTCCCTCCCACTCTCTCCTCCCCCTCCACTCTCTCCCTCCCACTCTCTCCCTCCCACTCTCTCCCTCCCTCCCTCCCACTCTCTCCCTCCCACTCCTCCCTCCACTCTCCTCCTCCCACTCTCTCCCTCCCACTCTCTCCCTCCTCCCACTCTCTCCCTCCCACTCTCTCCCTCCCCTCTCTCCCTCCCACCTCTCTCCCGCCCACTCTCTCCCTCCCACTCTCTCCCTCCACTCTCTCCCTCCCACTCTCTCCCTCCCACTCTCTCCCCTCCCACTCTCTCCTCCCTCTCCCTCCCACTCTCCCTCCCCTCTCCCTCCCACTCTCTCTCCCTCCCACTCTCTCCCTCCCACTCTCTCCCTCCCACTCTCTCCCTCCCCCTCTCCTCGCTCTTCTCCTCCTCCCACTCTCCCTCCCTCCCACTCTCTCCCTCCCACTCTCTCCCTCCCTCCTCTCCTCCCACTCTCTCCCCCCACTCCTCTCCTCCCATCCACTCTCTCTCCCCTCCCACTCTCTCCCTCCCACTCTCTCCCTCCCCTCTCCCCCTCCCATCTCGCCCCTCCACTCTCTCCCTCCCACTCCCTCCCCTCCCACTCTCTCCCTCCCACTCTCTCTCCCCTCCCACTCTCTCCCTCCCACCTCTCCTCCCACGCTCTCCTCCCACTCTCTCCCTCCCACTCTCTCCCTCCCACTCTCTCCCCTCCCTCCCTCCCACTCTCTCCCTCCCACTCTCTCCCTCCCACTCTCCCCTCCCACTCTCTCCCTCCCACTCTCTCCCTCCCACTCTCTTCCCCTCTCACCTCTCCCTCCCACTCCTCTCCCCTCCCCTCCCACTCTCTCACTCCCACTCTCTCCCTCCCACTCTCTCCCTCCCACTCTCTCCCTCCCACTCTCTCCCTCCCACTCTCTCCCTCCCTCTCACTCTCCCCTCCCACTCTCCTCTCCCTCCCACTCTCTCCCCTCCCACTCTCTCCCTCCCACTCTCTCTCTCCTCCCTCCCACTCTCCTCTCTCCCTCCCACTCTCTCCCTCCCACTCTCTCCTCCCCACTCTCTCCCCTCCCACTCTCTCCCTCCCACTCTCTCCCTCCCACTCTCTCCCTCCCATACACCCCACCGCCTTTCACACCCCCAGGTGGCACGACTACGGCAAATTCCTGCCTGCAGATGATCCGCGACATCCCCACGTACATGGACCGTACCTGCCTGTTGGACCAATGCTGCCATCTGCTCTCCCAGGTGGCACGAACATGACAAGTCCATTACCTGCGATATCCCCGCGTACATGGATGGACCCATGATGCCTTGTTTCGCCCTCTCTTTCCCTCTTTCCTCCCCCACCCCTCCCCCCCTCCCTTTCCCTCCCTTCCTCCTTCCATTTCCCCCAACTCCAGGCGGTACGACTTTGGCAAGTCGCTCCAGATGATTCGAGACGTTCCCATGCACATGGACCAAACCTGCTTACGTGACCAATGCTGCTGCCCTGCTGCTATGTGCTCTCACCTCTCATTACCACTCTTCTTCGCCCCTCCCTTTCCCCGTTCAACTTCAGGTGGCACGACTACGGCAAGTCGCTGCAGATGATCCGAGACATTCTAATGTACATGGACCGAACCTACGTGACCAATCACAACAAGACACCTGTGCACGACCTCGGCCTCGCTCTCTGGCGCGACCACATCGTGCGCGCCCCCGCCATCCGCCCGCGCCTCCTCTCCACCATCCTCTCCCTCGTCCACCAAGAGCGCTCGGGGGAAGTGATTAACCGCGCGCTCATGCGATCCATATCGTCCATGTTCGCCGATCTCGGCCCGGCGGTGTACTCGGAAGATCTGGAGCGTCCGTTTCTGGAGGCGTCGGCGTCGTTTTACCGCGGCGAGGCGCAGCGCCACCTGACGACGTGTGATTGCGCGGATTATCTCAAGGTGGCGGAGAGGAGGTTGGAGGAGGAGGGGGAGCGCGTGGCTCAGTACCTGGATGCGCGCACGGAGGGGAAGGTGACTGGCGTGGTGGAGCGCGAGATGGTGGGGAACCACCTCAGGTTGCTTGTTGATATGGAGAACTCTGGGCTCGTTCCCATGCTCGTGAACGACAAATACGAGGTGCGTGAGTGGGCCTGCTCGTGAATGGGGGAGCGCGTGGCGCGCACGTACCTGGCCTGCCGTGTATGTGGATGCGCGCACGGAGGGGAAGGCTGGAAGCACTTACGAGCACTGATGGGGGGCAGTGAGTCGACTACTATTTTCCGTGCTTCCTCCCATTGCGCGCATGTATCGCCCGTTCAAGTGGGGCATCCGGGCCTGCAGACGATGAGGGAGGTGGCAGGCATATCCCCGCTTCCTCCTCACCACTCCCATCGTGGCATTGCTGGCCTCTTCTTGTATTTCCGTCCACCTTCCCCCTCTCAGGACATAGCGCGCATGTACCGCCTGCTCAAGCGTGTGCCGCAGGGGCTGCAGACGATGAGGGAGGTGATGTCGGGGCATCTCAGGGAGACGGGCCGGCAGCTAGTCACTGATCCGGACAGGTGCGATGGGGAGGGGGAGGGATAGGTGTAAGTGGGTGTCTATGTGTGTGTGCGGGATGAGAGTGGTGGTGTCAGGGCATCCGAGGGAGACGGGCCGACAGCTGGTCACTGACCCTGACAGGTATGGTGGCGGGGGATGAGCTATGCGTAGCCAAGTGTGAGTGACTGTGTGTGAGTGTGATGTGTTGAGGTGGCGTCGGGGCATCTCAGAGAGACGGGCAGGCAGCTGGTCACTGACCCTGACAGGTATGGCGGTGGTTGTGTCATCAATGCACCTTGGAGGAGCGTGTGAGTGGGAGCGTGGGGGTGTGCGAAGCTGTGTGTGGTGAGGGAGGTGATTTCGGGGCACCTGAGGGACACGGGCAGGCAGCTGATCACTGACCCAGACAGGTATGACAGTGGGGGGTGGAGATGGGGTGAGGCTGGGGAGATTGTGGGTGTGGTTGTGTGTGGATACAATGAGGGAGGTGATGTACGGGCATGGCAGGGAGACGGGTCACTAACCCGGACAGGCATGGTAGGAGGAATGGGGGTGGGGATGGGTGGGGATGGGGATGGGTGGGGATGGGTGGGGATGGGTGGGGATGGGTGGGGAGACGAAGCGCTCATCACAACACGCTCAACCTTTGAGTTCTTTCTCAACCTCAACACGCTTCTTGCGACTGCATGTCCGCCGCTCCCTCTCTACCGCTCCTCCCTCCGCAACGGCTGTTGGAGAAGGATGAGTTCGATCGCATTATCGCTGCCTCATTCGCCTCCCTCTGTACCACTCCACTCCTCTCCAACCCCCTCCCTCCCCTCCCTACCCAAGGACCCAGTGGTGAGTCGATTTTTGAGTCGACTAAAAAATCGACTCATCACACAAGGACCCAGTGGAGTTGGTGCAGCGCCTGCTAGAGGAGAAAGACAAGTAGGATATCGCATCATAGTAGCTTCCTTCGCCTCAGACAAAGCCTTCCACACCACCCTCAGCACCGCCTTCGAGTTCTTTCTCAACCTCAACGCCCTTCTTGCGACAACGTGTCCTCCCCGACCCACTCCCCCTCTCCCCCCCTCATGCAGGTGCAAGGACCCAGTGGAGTTCGTGCAGCGCCTCCTAGAGGAAAAAGACAAGTACGACCGAATCATCTCCGCCTCGTTTGCTTCCGATAAAGCCTTCCTCACCACCCTCAGCACGGCCTTTGAGTTCTTCCTCTCCCCACCCCCTCCCCAACTCACCAGGTGCAAGGACCCAGTGGAGTTCGTACAGAGGCTCCTAGAGGAATAGGATAAATATGACCGAATCATCGCCGCCTCCTTCGCCTCCGACAAGGCCGTCCACACCACCCTCAGCACGGCCTTTGAGTTCTTCTCTCAACCTGAACGCCGCGCTTCTTGCCTCATGTCATGTCCTGTCCTGTCCTGTCCTTTCCCCCCCTCATGCAGGTGCAAGGACCCAGTCGAGTTTGTTCAACGCCTGCTAGAGGAAAAAGACAAGTACGACCGCATAATCGCTGCCTCGTTCGCCTCCGACAAGACCTTTCAGACGGCACTCAGCACGGCCTTTGAGTTCTTCCTCAACCTCAACGCGCGCGCTGCAGAGTACATCTCTCTCTTCATAGACGACAAGCTGCGCAAGGGGCTCAAGGGGGCTAGCGAGGAGGAGGCAGAGGCTGTGCTGGATAAAGTCATGACTCTGTTCCGGTTCCTGCAGGAGAAGGACGTTTTTGAGAAGTATTATAAGCAGCACTTAGCTAAGCGCCTGCTGTCGGGGAAGACGGTTTCGGATGACGCAGAGCGGAGCTTTATTGTGAAGCTGAAGACTGAGTGTGGGTACCAGTTCACTTCGAAACTGGAGGGCATGTTTCTGGACATGAAAACGTCTCAGGATACGATGCACGCGTTTCACTGCGCTCTGCAGGCGGAAGCAGCGGCGGCGGCGGCGGCGGCGGCGGGAGGAGGGGGAGTGGGGGAAGAGAGGGGGGGTGGGGAGGGAGAGGTAGAGGATCCGGCTAGTGGGGTTGCTGCTGCTGCTGCTGGGGCTGCTGCTGGGGGTGGTGCCGCGGCTGCTGGGGGGGCTTTGCGGGAGGAAGGAGGGGATGAGGGCGGGGAGGAGGAAGGGGAAGGGTCGGCACGCGGAGGAGCAGCAGCTGCTGCAGCAGCGCTCCGCACCGAACCAGATCTCGCCCTCGCCGGACCGTCCGGCACGGCAGCAGGCTCGGGAGCCGGCTCGTCGTCATCATCAGCCGCAGGAGGGGCGGCAGCGGGTGGATTATTCCAAGGGCCGACTCTTTCGGTGCAGGTGTTAACTACCGGGTCGTGGCCCACACAGGCGGGCGCCAGATGCAACCTCCCTGGGGAAATCCTCCCCATATGCGAGAAGTTCACAAGGCACTACCTGACGACGCACACCGGGCGGCGGCTGACGTGGCAGATGAACATGGGGCATGCGGACGTGAAGGCCACATTTGAGTCGCGGAAATACGAGCTGTCGGTTTCGACCTACCAGGTGGGTGGGTGGCTTCTCACTGTTGTATTGTACCGTTGCCCTTTCATGTCCACGTACCAGGTGGGTTGGTTTGGGCATACGCGGTGAGTTTTGGCTTTTTGTTGACTTGTGACGACCTGCCAGCCAGGTAGACGTGAAGGCCACGTTTGACTTGCGGACATGCGAGCTGTCCGCGTCCACGTTCCAGGTGGGTGACTACGGTTTGAGTGATTAGGAATTTGCATTGACTTATTGTGACATAACAGGTGGGTGCGGGACCTACCTCGCTTGAGTCTCAGATGTGCATTCTGATGCTCTTCAACACGCACGACTACCCCACCTACCGAGACATCAAAGCAGCCAAGGACGTCCCCTGGTGCGCGGCAAGAGCCTGCTGTCCCTGCCCTTCTCCTTTTCTCCCTCTCCCCCCTCCCAGATGTGCATTTTGATGCTCTTCAATACGCACGACTCCCTCACTTATCGGGACATAGAAGCAGCCACGGACATCCCATCAGCCGACCTGCGCCGCAACCTGCAGTCGCTGTCGCTGGTGCGAGGCAAGAACGTGCTGAGGAAGGAACCCGTGGGGAAGGAGGTGGGGGATGACGACACGTTTCATTTCAACCACAAGTTCACCTCCAAGTTCTTCAAGGTGGGAAGAGGGGGGGGGGATGTGTGCACGGTTACAGTGTGTGTGGGGGGGAATGGGTGAGCCCGTAGGCAAGGAGGTTGGGGACAATGATGCTTTCCACTTCAACCACAAGTTCACCTCCAAGTTCTTCAAGGTACGGAGTGGGGTATTGGGTGGATGGCTGGATGGGTGGATGGCTGGATGGCTGGATGGGTGGATGGGTGGATGGGTGGATGGGTGGATGGGTGGATGGGTGGAGGGGTGCGAGGCAAGAACGTGCTGAGGAAGGAACCCGTGGGGAAGGAGGTGGACGATGACGACACCTTCCACTTCAACCACAAGTTCACCTCCAAGTTCTTCAAGGTGAGAGGGCGTGCTAGGAGGCATCCTAAGGTGAGAGGGCGTGCTAGGAGGCATCCTAAGGTGAGGGGAAGTATGAGTGGAGGGGAGAGGGAGCATGCTCTATTCGGTGAGAGGGGAATGGGGGAGTTTGTGAGCTTGGAGGTAGAGGATGACGATACTTTCCACTTCAACCACTAGTTCACC